AAGGAAAAGATCCCACACAAGATACTATTAACTTCTAAGTAAATGTAGAAACACAATTTCAGTGCAAAGCATTCTGAAGCCACATACTGGGATTCTTAGAAGCCTGGTAAAGGAAGTCCCCATGCAAGACTGTGAACCTGGAGCAGCGCCAGGCCAGAGGTTCCCCACAGACATCACCCTCCTCTGTAGCATCACCTCATCTGAGGTGCGACCTCATAGCTCAGGGCTGCTCTACTTCCTCAAATAGATACATGCTATTTGAGAGCAAGACCACCCAGATCTTCTTTTGTGTCACTGAAGAGGCCTGCCTGTTATGGGAGCTCCACAAACTGCCAGGGAGTTAGTTCCTACCTGCCACCTTTAAGGAGATGTCAGTCAAGTGGTCCCCAGGCTGCAGGTGACTGTATTCTTGGATGAAGTGAGTAAGTGAGATGTCTACATGGAACTTGTGTGGGTATGGGTCCTCCCCATTAACCTTTAGTTGGTGAACTGCTTGACTGCGGATCTTGTAGTATTGCTATTAAACAAACGAACAGAACAGAGAAGAAAAAAGTCTTTGACAACTTGAACCTGGTCAGGCTAGCAGAGTAATGTATTCTGCTTTGGAGTGGCCCCAATACATTGAGGTTTCTTTAACTGAGCCCTCCATACCCTTGAAATCACAGGATTTGATTATGGAGTGAGATTTGCACTTAAAATATGCAGGTGGCCAGACCCACAGTTGGCAACAAAGGCCGGAATTCCAAAATGCAAGACTCAACAAAAAGAAAAATTGGAGTCTTCCTAAAACAGTAAAAGCTTAGTGAGCTCAGGTGGCTTTGGTTAGCACGTCTGTGGGTGCATCTGCACAGTGAATCTATTATCTTCTTTCCTACCCTGGGTTCACATCAGACTTTCCCACAAGACAGGTCTACAGGGCCTGGACGATATAAAAAAGGAATATTCAACAGCAGGGGTCAGCAAACTTTTTCTGATGCAACCAGTCAACTCTGCTATCGTAGTGTGAAAGCAGCCTTAGACACACGTAAACAAAAAGGCATGGCTGCGTTCCAATACAATTTTATTTTCAAAACCAGGGAGGAGGGATAAGGTAGTTGGGGTGGAAGGTGGATCTGGCTTACAGACGTAGTGTGCTCATCACTGCTCTAAAGTAAACCCTAGCCCATCTTTAGGGAGATATTTGGTCTGGGGCTGCTATGAGGCCCAGTTAGTTCCGAGGGAGATGAACCAGTCACGCGGAAGTACTAGGTTCTCCCAAATGCCTATTGGAGTTGATCAGAAAGATGCTCAGGGCCTGTGTCTTTAACCAGAAGGAACAGTGGGCCCGCCCTCATCCATGTGACCCAGGCCCAGTGCTCATTCCAGTTCCTATTTATCTGAGTCCCTGGCCCCAAAGAATGTGCCATCAGCGCCATCAGCAGCTTCCTGTGCCCAGCCAGAGGACTGGAGGACTCACGTTTGGGTCCAGGCTCTCCTCCTCAGCACCCACACCATTGTCAGCGCTGTGGCTGGTGTCAGCAGCAGTGGCCTGGCTTAGTTGTCTCTCGCTGAGCTCCTTCTGCTTGGCTTCCTTCTCTGCTACTTTCTTCTCAGCTTTCAGGCGTCTCTTCAGCTCACTGTTGGGAAGATGAAAATGTTCACTGGGACAGTTGCCTGGAGTCCTCTAGTATTCTACCCCGTAGCCAATTATCCAAAATGTGAATAGCCTGGGGAAATGCTCTCGCCCAGTTCTACACCCCCACTTCTAGTCTCTTAGTCACTAAACTATAGGTGAAAGAGAAAAGAAAAAAACTTAGAATAAAGGTGTAGAAGATCTTTCCCAGTCTGTTTTCCAGTCTGAGGTCCCAAGTAAAATCAAGATACACCAGGACAAAGAAAATCCTACACATCAGTTTTGTATTTGGAATAGGAAAAAAGGTTTTCCAGGAAATCAGAAAGATAGGCCTTTCTCAAGGTAGGTAGGTTAGGGAGCTAGCTCCTTGAGGCCAGGGGCTAAATCTTAGTTATTCAGTATCCTTTGTAGAATATGAAGTTCCTAGAGTACCAGACCGTACGCATGTCTCCAGCTCTCTCTGCCATCCTCTCTACCCCAAGAAGTGGGTTAGTCTGGGGTGGGGACAGAGTGGCAGAGAGGTGGCTCTTCAGAATTCAAGGAGACACACCACTGACAATCTCTCCCTCAGCACTGGTCTCACTCTGTCCACTGGAACTTGATTTGACAAACTGGGCTGAGAAGTATACAAAGCAGTGTAGCATAGGGGATACTATACCATGTTTGGAGTCGGACTGCTTGGGACTCCTGACACACCTATCTACCAATCAATTATATGACCTTGTTCAAGTGACTTTACTTCTCCCCATCTGTAAAATGGCAATAACAGATTTCTATTTTCTCCTCCTCAAATGTTGTGAGGATTTAGATAATGTATGTGAAGAGATGACCCTGTCACTAGCATTTAGCCGACATGCAAATGTGAGCTCTTCTTAACTCTCTACTCTGCACCTAGGACAGAAATCTTGCAGATTTAGATAAATTTCTGGTTCAAATCCTTCACTGTTCAAACACTCTGCTCTGAAATCTTGCTTGAACTCAGAAAACAGATTTGTGTATGAGAGATACCCTCTTATTCAAATAGGATCGATCATTCTTTTAAAGCACCAATTTTAATCAAGTATTCCATAATTCCCATGTCTGCTTACATATTATCTGGCTTTAGGGCACACTCTTAATTTTCAATGTAAGTTTAGAATAAATCATTTAGAAAACTTAATTGGGGATTTTTAAGGATAATGTTTTAGGTAAGAAAACTGAGGCCTTCAAAGTAGGTGTCTCTGTATCGAAATAATCTGTAACAGTTGTGAAGACAACCTTTCCAAGAATACTGTGCTAGGCTATCTGCTGTAATTCAGTCAGTGGGCATCTAAGCCTTTGTAGCATTAACATAATAAACCTGTTGTCCATTCAACTTGGTCTTGCTCTTTAAATCAAATCAATCCTAAAGATAATCCAAAAAGGCCCTAGGGATAGAACTGAGACTGAAGAGGAAACTAATCTCAAGAGCAAACCAAGTCCAGAAAGATAGGAAAGAGAAAATAAACTGCAATAGAAATTTTTTATTCATACAAAGGCTTTGTTCTCAGCACTGTTCTACAATAAGACCCAAACATCATCTCAAGAATCTAGAGAGAATTTCAATTTATTAAAGAGAAAATGAAAAAGGACTATGGTTTTGGTAGCAGGGCTCTTTGTTTCCTTAGCAACAAGTCTGAAGACTTAGCCAGAGGCATAAAGGATAAGGACCTGAGTAAAGGGAAGATTTTTGCTCCCAGAGCAACAAAGAAGGTAATGGGCACCAACCTTCTTTTATCAGAAAGTGGCTTGTCCTTGTGAAGCGCTGTGAAAGGAGCAAGTTGATACAGTCGCAGTTCCCTCTGCCCCCATTGTGCCCAGGAGGTTTGGCGAAGGGACCCCCTAACAAGCCTTACAGCAGCTTGCATCAACATGGCAGAACACCCTGGAACTAATGATTACCACCACCTAACAGGAAACACAGAGATGTGGTGTCAGATGGGACAGACAGTATACATACACCCAACCAGCATGCCTACTCTTATGGGTTGGGGGGTTACACAACCTTCAGTGTCCCATTTAAGACCCTGTTAACTGACAGCAGCCCTATTAACATTCACTGTGCTGGAACTCTGACAATGTTCTGTTCTGGCTGTGGTAAAGAAGTGCTTATCTGGGATCAAAAGTTAAAAGTAAGTCAATCAATAGTTTACAGGTAGAAATGATCATAACATTCTAGAAAATGGAAGACAGGACCTGGGGCAAGTGTTTCTGAAGTCCCTGACATGTAGTTTCTCTCTAGGAGATGAAATACCTGGCCACAGAGACAGCAACAGGAAGCATATAAAATGTTACTATTAACTGCAAACTAACTGAAGCTAAAAGCAGACCACACAAAAGCACCTGAGTCAAAGTTCTTGTTTGGAGCTCTAGGTCTTAGACTACATTACATCTATACATTAACACTAACACTGGAAGGCAACAAAATTACAGGGATTATGTTCTTCATTGCATTTAAATAAACTTGGCCTTTCATTTGGTAATGATCAGTTAGCAGGCAGCCCAACTGTTTTTAAACTTGGAGAAAATAACTGGCATGAAATGCCCGCTAAGGATTCAGACAAGGGAAGTTCAAAGAACAATTAAGAAATAGAAGGACATGTTAATCATAAAAAAATTATTTTAGCTCATAGCCACTAGTGGAATACAAATTAACAGCAGATCCTTGCAGACAATGTGAAGTATGGTGCAGTCAGTATAAAGAGCATGGGCTGTGGAGCTACAGACTGGATTTTAGATCTCCGCTCCAGAGCTTTGGATTAGTTACAGACTACACCTTTTAGGTCTGCACACTTCAGCAATGCATGTAATTACCTAGAGCCTCAGTTTACTAATGTGAAAAAAATAGGCACTAACATTTCCCTTGCAAGATTATTGAGATTAGACAGAATGTATAGTTCTAGCAAAGTGCCTGATACATAAAAGTTGCTTTAAAACAGTGGTAGCTTTAGATTATGGGTAATTAATTTAAGAAAAGACAGAAAGGAATTAGTTGGTTTCCTCAATTTGTCTTTAAATCATACTCTGGATATCTTGCTTAGGAGGCATCTGTGATTTATAATTCTAAAATTCGATTACTGATGTAACAGATCAAAGTCCAATTTTTCAAAGGAAGTAGTCTAAGACCAGTTTCTATACACCTATCAAGATCCATCAGATATGCCCAGAAGGACAACATATTAGGGTGCTATCAAACCATAAATTTAGCTATTTCCTGCCTCATTTTTCTAGTCTAGTTGAAGCATAAGGGGACAAAAAGGGAACACCAATTCACCAGTTGAGTGCCTAGAAAAATTTCATGAGGGTTCAGCAACAGAACTGAGCCCTCATGCACTAGGGCAGCCGTATTTGCAATGAATTAAGTTCTCTCCTATGCTTCTGGAATGGAGATGAAAGGCTTGGCCACAGCTCCGCCTGGGATGATGTTCATCATGGGAGTTTCAATCTAAAAGAAAGGGAGAAATATTTAGTCCTCAGAGGCCCTTAAACCAGAGACCTCGGGGATAGCTCATGCTTTGCATGTGATATATCTTAAGCCTGTTATCCCCAAATAAAAGTTAAGTTCAATAATAATGTGCAATGCTTGACAAAAAAGCAGAGATAGCTTGACTTTCTAGGGTAATGTCTCAATTTCTGTTAATACCAAACAAATATCAAGTTGCAGTATTTATTAAAAATGTTAACTGCTCATGTCCTTTAACTTATTCTACTTCTAGAAATCCACCCTAAACAATTGCACATAAGTACAAAGATGTTCATAAAGCATACAAAATCACAAACCTAAATTATTAATAGGGAAAATAAAATTAGGCAGCATTAAAAATGAATATGCACACACAAACACAACCAGAAAGGGCTCTAACTGAAAAAAAGTGGAAAAAAAAAGCAAGCAAGTCCATCATAACACACACACCGTGACCTCATTTATATTTAAAGCAAAAAATAAAACCCATCCAAAATATTTACAAGTGTACCCCATCTGCAACATGTATAGGTATATATGTATGTATACATAATAAATGGTGTGAAGGAGACATACCATTAAGTTTATGGAAGGAAGTTAGTTGGGAGAAATGAAAGGGGACTTTCAGTTTTGCTTTTTATTTGAATTTGTTTTACAGTAATATGCACTCACTTGTTTCATACTTTTTTTTATGCTACAAAAAAGCAAAATGAGCTGATTACATGCTAATGATGTCATCCATGTTCAATGTGTTGATGGCCCTACACTTTGCCCGTTATCTTGGAAGTCAGGTCCTGCCTTCCTAATCAGGGCACCAAATAAACAAGTGGAACAAAGGCACTGGCAAGAAATGAGACTTTTCATTAAGCATGAAAGATACTGACACAGGATACGCCTTGGAAAAGGAAAGGGAAGGAATAGTGAAAGACAGGCTCGTCATGTTAGGTAAGGAACTCTCCGTCACCTCCAGGAATCCCAACTCATCCAAGAAACTTCTTATGTATGTGATGATCTTCGAGCGGATGATAAATTTCTGCCTTACAAAGTCATTCAGGATCAAGTCCAAGTATCTCTGACGATACCGTGTTTCCTAAACCAAAACAACAGATAGATATCACTGATACGTCTGATTCAATGGTATGATAAGCCACAATTCGGAGGCCGTGAGAGCTCACCTTATCTTTGAGGCCAAAGTGAAGGTGAGGTAACATGTGCAAGCAAGGAGACAGCAGCGTGATCTTGTGAGGAATGATACTCAGCTCACCCTTCTTGGTTTTCCCAGGGTTCCCCTCAACTCCAATTATGTCTCCCCGTCGCAGTTTGTTATTGATATGAATAAATTCTTCTTCTGATTTATAATTCCTGAGTGAAAGGAAAATGTAATTTGGTATACAATATCCTACATTAAAACTGACACTGGTTTACTCTGGAATCCTCATTAAATTGTTAGTGCCTAGTTAATGTGAGCCAAGCAGAATCTCAGATTCAAGGCCAACTGTTAAAAAAGTACTGGAATTTCAACTGCTATGCACCTGACAGCCGTCATTCTCCAGGTGACCAAACAGCCTTTTTATTCTTTTTTCAGCCTTACCTGACCATATCCCACTTCTGACTTTAAAACACCAATGGGAAAAGACCACATAGGCCTCCCTCCCCAACCATGCTGCTCTGGGCCAACCTATCAAAGGCCTGTAATTGGGTATTTCTATATACCTGGAATTGGCCATCACTTGCAACTTGATCCCCTCTCCTCGAAGGTCATAGAAGATGAGCTTTCCCCCAGAAGCTCTTTTGGCATGAATCCTACCTAGAAAAAGAACAGTAGAAATATTGACTGACAGACCAGGAGCTATTTCATGATTATTAGTGCCCCAAAAGCTCCCTCTGTATATTTTACATCCAGGGAGAACCAGAAAGCCTTGACTTTAGATGAGGCCTAAGCCCTGCCTACCTTTTTCTTCATGACCCCAACCCCCACTGAACCCAGTTTAGGATGTGCAGGAAGAACTGGTTTTAAAGATGGTCATTAGATTCCTGGAAGATGGCAGTGTTGGTGGCAGCATAGGTTTTGGGTCTCCCTGACTCTTCACTTATAAAGAGAAAGCACAACTTAGATAGGCAAGGCCAAAAAGCCAAGGCCAAAATTTACAACAAAATTACATGGGAAGATAGTCCCAAGAATCCCCAAATACAAGCCATGGGGCAGACCATTGAGAGCCCTAGGACCTCCTTACAGGAAAAAGCTGTGAGGAGCAAGGAGTGTCTGAAGGGTCTGCAAACTGGTATGTGCTATACAGGCACAGGCATTTCCTGATAATGTGGCAGGCTAACTAGAGGATGGCAGCTGAAACGGGGAGGGGATCTGCCCACTGCCATATGAATGAGAACAGTGGGCTGCATTCTGAAGGTTTAAAGGAATGATGTCCTTTAGTGTAGCCCCCAGGAACACTCTTTCACCGTCGGGGCTCCCCTCCCTTCTAGGACGAGCCCCCCAGAGAACTGAACAAGACCAGGAAAATAGAGACAAAGGAAAGAAAAGGTCCAACAGAAGTGAGGAAGGGGCAGAGAGCCAGGAATCTCAGAAAGCAAGCTGCTGTACTTCGGTACACTTCATAAAATAACAGAAGAGGGAGCTTGACGAAGTTGGAAAAGCTGTCAGAACCAAGCCTCCTTCTAACATTCAGGAAAACTAACTTCACATAAAAACAAGCAACATAAAAGTACTGCAGCTGAAAGCCATACAAAATTATTTCTTAAAAACAGAGAGAATAACATCCCCACAATGAAAGCACTCAAGACAGACTCAGGAAAAAATAGGAAAAATTCTGTTTCACAATGAACTGAAAGGCAGTAAGAAAATGACACAAAATATGAAAGAATACAAATCAGAATTGGAAAAATGAAGACATGAGGTGACACACGAAAATTTAGAAGTAAAAAATCATTTCCAAAATGAAGACTAAAGTAGAAGGAAATAAAAGTAAATAAACAGGACAAATAATACCTTAAGAGAAAGTGGGAAGGAAGATGAACTTTCAATATTAAAGTATAAAGAGAGAGAAAAGGGATTTAACAAAAGCAACAAATATTGAAAACTTCAAGCATGTGTATAGAAGGAGTCCCAAAAGCAATAAAGAAACAGAACACAAAAATTATATTCAAGAAAAATTTCCTAAAAGATTTGAAAAAATATACATAAAGGGCATACTGTGTAACTGAGAATACTGACTCAGAATGACTAACATCAAGACATGTTTTAGTAAAATGATTGGACTTTAACTTTTGGATGTTTAGGCATTTGCAGGGTGGTGGGATTATGGGTAATGAAACTTTTTTGCTTTGTTGAATGTTCTGAATTTTCTACGATTAATAGTTTTACTTTTATTTTTTGGGGAGCAAAAAAAGATAGGACTTACTTATCTTAAAGGAAAAGATCCCACACAAGATACTATTAACTTCTAAGTAAATGTAGAAACACAATTTCAGTGCAAAGCATTCTGAAGCCACATACTGGGATTCTTAGAAGCCTGGTAAAGGAAGTCCCCATGCAAGACTGTGAACCTGGAGCAGCGCCAGGCCAGGAGTTCCCCACAGACATCACCCTCCTCTGTAGCATCACCTCATCTGAGGTGCGACCTCATAGCTCAGGGCTGCTCTACTTCCTCAAATAGATACATGCTATTTGAGAGCAAGACCACCCAGATCTTCTTTTGTGTCACTGAAGAGGCCTGCCTGTTATGGGAGCTCCACAAACTGCCAGGGAGTTAGTTCCTACCTGCCACCTTTAAGGAGATGTCAGTCAAGTGGTCCCCAGGCTGCAGGTGACTGTATTCTTGGATGAAGTGAGTAAGCGAGATGTCTACATGGAACTTGTGTGGGTATGGGTCCTCCCCATTAACCTTTAGTTGGTGAACTGCTTGACTGCGGATCTTGTAGTATTGCTATTAAACAAACGAACAGAACAGAAGAAAAAAGTCTTTGACAACTTGAACCTGGTCAGGCTAGCAGAGTAATGTATTCTGCTTTGGAGTGGCCCCAATACATTGAGGTTTCTTTAACTGAGCCCTCCATACCCTTGAAATCACAGGATTTGATTATGGAGTGAGATTTGCACTTAAAATATGCAGGTGGCCAGACCCACAGTTGGCAACAAAGGCCGGAATTCCAAAATGCAAGACTCAACAAAAAGAAAAATTGGAGTCTTCCTAAAACAGTAAAAGCTTAGTGAGCTCAGGTGGCTTTGGTTAGCACGTCTGTGGGTGCATCTGCACAGTGAATCTATTATCTTCTTTCCTACCCTGGGTTCACATCAGACTTTCCCACAAGACAGGTCTACAGGGCCTGGACGATATAAAAAAGGAATATTCAACAGCAGGGGTCAGCAAACTTTTTCTGATGCAACCAGTCAACTCTGCTATTGTAGTGTGAAAGCAGCCTTAGACACACGTAAACAAAAAGGCATGGCTGCGTTCCAATACAATTTTATTTTCAAAACCAGGGAGGAGGGATAAGGTAGTTGGGGTGGAAGGTGGATCTGGCTTACAGACGTAGTGTGCTCATCACTGCTCTAAAGTAAACCCTAGCCCATCTTTAGGGAGATATTTGGTCTGGGGCTGCTATGAGGCCCAGTTAGTTCCGAGGGAGATGAACCAGTCACGCGGAAGTACTAGGTTCTCCCAAATGCCTATTGGAGTTGATCAGAAAGATGCTCAGGGCCTGTGTCTTTAACCAGAAGGAACAGTGGGCCCGCCCTCATCCATGTGACCCAGGCCCGGTGCTCATCCCAGTTCCTATTTATCTGAGTCCCTGGCCCCAAGGAATGTACCATCAGCGCCATCAGCAGCTTCCTGTGCCCAGCCAGAGGGACGAGGACTCACGTTTGGGTCCAGGCTCTCCTCCTCAGCACCCACACCATTGTCAGCGCTGTGGCTGGTGTCAGCAGCAGTGGCCTGGCTTAGTTGTCTCTCGCTGAGCTCCTTCTGCTTGGCTTCCTTCTCTGCTACTTTCTTCTCAGCTTTCAGGCGTCTCTTCAGCTCACTGTTGGGAAGATGAAAATGTTCACTGGGACAGTTGCCTGGAGTCCTCTAGTATTCTACCCCGTAGCCAATTATCCAAAATGTGAATAGCCTGGGGAAATGCTCTCGCCCAGTTCTACACCCCCACTTCTAGTCTCTTAGTCACTAAACTATAGGTGAAAGAGAAAAGAAAAAAACTTAGAATAAAGGTGTAGAAGATCTTTCCCAGTCTGTTTTCCAGTCTGAGGTCCCAAGTAAAATCAAGATACACCAGGACAAAGAAAATCCTACACATCAGTTTTGTATTTGGAATAGGAAAAAAGGTTTTCCAGCAAATCAGAAAGATAGGCCTTTCTCAAGGTAGGTAGGTTAGGGAGCTAGCTCCTTGAGGCCAGGGGCTAAATCTTAGTTATTCAGTATCCTTTGTAGAATATGAAGTTCCTAGAGTACCAGACCGTACGCATGTCTCCAGCTCTCTCTGCCATCCTCTCTACCCCAAGAAGTGGGTTAGTCTGGGGTGGGGACAGAGTGGCAGAGAGGTGGCTCTTCAGAATTCAAGGAGACACACCACTGACAATCTCTCCCTCAGCACTGGTCTCACTCTGTCCACTGGAACTTGATTTGACAAACTGGGCTGAAAAGTATACAAAGCAGTGTAGCATAGGGGATACTATACCATGTTTGGAGTCGGACTGCTTGGGACTCCTGACACACCTATCTACCAATCAATTATATGACCTTGTTCAAGTGACTTTACTTCTCCCCATCTGTAAAATGGCAATAACAGATTTCTATTTTCTCCTCCTCAAATGTTGTGAGGATTTAGATAATGTATGTGAAGAGATGACCCTGTCACTAGCATTTAGCCGACATGCAAATGTGAGCTCTTCTTAACTCTCTACTCTGCACCTAGGACAGAAATCTTGCAGATTTAGATAAATTTCTGGTTCAAATCCTTCACTGTTCAAACACTCTGCTCTGAAATCTTGCTTGAACTCAGAAAACAGATTTGTGTACGAGAGATACCCTCTTATTCAAATAGGATCGATCATTCTTTTAAAGCACCAATTTTAATCAAGTATTCCATAATAATCCATGGCAAATGATCCCATGTCTGCTTACAGATTATCTGGCTTTAGGGCACACTCTTAATTTTCAATATAAGTTTAGAATAAGTCATTTAGAAAACTTAATTGGGGATTTTTAAGGATAATGTTTTAGGTAAGAAAACTGAGGCCTTCAAAGTAGGTGTCTCTGTATCGAAATAATCTGTAACAGTTGTGAAGACAACCTTTCCAAGAATACTGTGCTAGGCTATCTGCTGTAATTCAGTCAGTGGGCATCTAAGCCTTTGTAGCATTAACATAATAAACCTGTTGTCCATTCAACTTGGTCTTGCTCTTTAAATCAAATCAATCCTAAAGATAATCCAAAAAGGCCCTAGGGATAGAACTGAGACTGAAGAGGAAACTAATCTCAAGAGCAAACCAAGTCCAGAAAGATAGGAAAGAGAAAATAAACTGCAATAGAAATTTTTTATTCATACAAAGGCTTTGTTCTCAGCACTGTTCTACAATAAGACCCAAACATCATCTCAAGAATCTAGAGAGAATTTCAATTTATTAAAGAGAAAATGAAAAAGGACTATGGTTTTGGTAGCAGGGCTCTTTGTTTCCTTAGCAACAAGTCCGAATACTTAGCCAGAGGCATAAAGGATAAGGACCTGAGTAAAGGGAAGATTTTTGCTCCCAGAGCAACAAAGAAGGTAATGGGCACCAACCTTCTTTTATCAGAAAGTGGCTTGTCCTTGTGAAGCACTGTGAAAGGAGCAAGTTGATACAGTCGCAGTTCCCTCTGCCCCCATTGTGCCCAGGAGGTTTGGCGAAGGGACCCCCTAACAAGCCTTACAGCAGCTTGCATCAACATGGCAGAACACCCTGGAACTAATGATTACCACCACCTAACAGGAAACACAGAGATGTGGTGTCAGATGGGACAGACAGTATACATACACCCAACCAGCATGCCTACTCTTATGGGTTGGGGGGTTACACAACCTTCAGTGTCCCATTTAAGACCCTGTTAACTGACAGCAGCCCTATTAACATTCACTGTGCTGGAACTCTGACAATGTTCTGTTCTGGCTGTGGTAAAGAAGTGCTTATCTGGGATCAAAAGTTAAAAGTAAGTCAATCAATAGTTTACAGGTAGAAATGATCACAACATTCTAGAAAATGGAAGACAGGACCTGGGGCAAGTGTTTCTGAAGTCCCTGACATGTAGTTTCTCTCTAGGAGATGAAATACCTGGCCACAGAGACAGCAACGGGAAGCATATAAAATGTTACTATTAACTGCAAACTAACTGAAGCTAAAAGCAGACCACACAAAAGCACCTGAGTCAAAGTTCTTGTTTGGAGCTCTAGGTCTTAGACTACATTACATCTATACATTAACACTAACACTGGAAGGCAACAAAATTACAGGGATTATGTTCTTCATTGCATTTAAATAAACTTGGCCTTTCATTTGGTAATGATCAGTTAGCAGGCAGCCCAACTGTTTTTAAACTTGGAGAAAATAACTGGCATGAAATGCCCGCTAAGGATTCAGACAAGGGAAGTTCAAAGAACAATTAAGAAATAGAAGGACATGTTAATCATAAAAAAATTATTTTAGCTCATAGCCACTAGTGGAATACAAATTAACAGCAGATCCTTGCAGACAATGTGAAGTATGGTGCAGTCAGTATAAAGAGCATGGGCTGTGGAGCTACAGACTGGATTTTAGATCTCCGCTCCAGAGCTTTGGATTAGTTACAGACTACACCTTTTAGGTCTGCACACTTCAGCAATGCATGTAATTACCTAGAGCCTCAGTTTACTAATGTGAAAAAAATAGGCACTAACATTTCCCTTGCAAGATTATTGAGATTAGACAGAATGTATAGTTCTAGCAAAGTGCCTGATACATAAAAGTTGCTTTAAAACAGTGGTAGCTTTAGATTATGGGTAATTAATTTAAGAAAAGACAGAAAGGAATTAGTTGGTTTCCTCAATTTGTCTTTAAATCATACTCTGGATATCTTGCTTAGGAGGCATCTGTGATTTATAATTCTAAAATTCGATTACTGATGTAACAGATCAAAGTCCAATTTTTCAAAGGAAGTAGTCTAAGACCAGTTTCTATACATCTATCAAGATCCATCAGATATGCCCAGAAGGACAACATATTAGGGTGCTATCAAACTATAAATTTAGCTATTTCCTGCCTCATTTTTCTAGTCTAGTTGAAGCATAAAGGGACAAAATGGGAACACCAATTCACCAGTTGAGTGCCTAGAAAAATTTCATGAGGGTTCAGCAACAGAACTGAGCCCTCATGCACTAGGGCAGCCGTATTTGCAATGAATTAAGTTCTCTCCTATGCTTCTGGAATGGAACTAGTTACGTACCATCTTTGGGAGTATTGAAGAACAGTTACTCAAATCACTGCCTGTGTTCAGCGCTTCAACTGAAGAACCCCGGTTGAGAGGGAAAATATATATTTGAGAATATAAGACATAGGCAGTTAAAACGCTAGTTAATTTTGATTTATTTATAGTTACCTTCACACTCCAAGAATTTGGAGTGGTTACCAAATATATACTAGCAGCGCTCCAAAGGGCAGCTTGGTGTACCCGGCTGATATGATGGTCCCTACGCTGAACACTGGTCCTCGGCTCAGTTACTCACAGATCTTTGCCTAACCCGTATGGAGAGGCGCACGAAGTTTTACAAATGATCGCATTAATAAATAAGGCTTAGAATGGCCACGGCTCTAAGGTTTTTTTTTGAAAAGCTGGGGTATTTAACATTTCTCCTACCTGCTTATCGGGGCGCAGCTCACTAATAAAATTAAGCCATTTCCCAGAAGGGGGAGTAAGTTTCGCTTTTCTGTTACCTCCCAGTTCTCTGCATTCTCTTACTCCAAGAGTACGACAGGGGGGACCCCGCCAGCGCCGGGCACGCGGCACCCTGGGGGGCGTAGTTTCGGGGCCAGCAGCCACTTCCCGGCGTGTCTGTACCCACGAGAACCGGCAGGAGGGCCCCAGGTTCAGCCACCCCGGCCAGACCCTCCAGGCCATTCCTAGCCGGTCTGTCCGACCGCAAAACATTAATGACCAGCAGCAACACTTACTTTTTGCTCAGTTTCGGCTCGCTGCCGTCCACTTTCACCTCAGCCTCCTGCACGTCTGCCATCTTTTCCGAGGGCCCGACCCAAAATGAACCAGGGTCGAACCTAAGTTTCCAGGTTCCAGCCGGAAGCCCCGCCTCTTCCGGGAGGAAGGGGACGGGCAGTTTTCGCGCGCTGCTGCCGCGCAGGCGCAGAGCGGGACTTCGCAGCCCGGGCGTCTGGGGCTGCAGCTGGGTCGCTGTGGTCTGTGCGCCAGGCCCTCGTTAGGGGGCATCTCTTCTTGTGCCTGGTGTCCGCAATGGCGGAGGCAATGGATTTGGGCAAAGACCCCAACGGGCCCACCCATTCCTCGACTCTGTTCGTGAGGGAGGATGGCAGTTCTATGTCCTTCTACGTGCGTCCTAGCCCGGCTAAGCGCCGGCTCTCGACGCTCATCCTGCACGGCGGCGGCACCCTGTGCCGGGTGCAGGAGCCCGGGGCCGTGCTGCTGGCCCAGCCGGGGGAGGCGGCGGCCGAGGCCTCGGGCGACTTCATCTCCACGCGGTACGTCCTAGACTGCGTGGAGCGCAACGAGAGGCTCGAGCTGGAGGCATATCGGCTGGGCCCGGCCGCAGCGACGAAGCCCGGCTCCCGGACTGAGGGCGCCGCCGCCGGGCAGCCCGCCCCGCAGCCGGACCGGGGGCGAATCGCCTTCAGCTACGCGGACGACCTGGCCATCCTGACCTACGTGAAGGACAATGCCCGCTCGTCCAACTCCGTCACGGGCAACGCCTTGTGGAAGGCGATGGAGAAGAGCTCGCTCACGCAGCACTCGTGGCAGTCCCTGAAGGACCGCTACCTCAAGCACCTGCGGGGCCAGGAGCACAAGTACCTGTTGGGAGACGCCCCAGTGAGCCCCTCCTCCCAGAAACTGAAGCGGAAGGCTGAGCAAGACCCGGAGGCCGCAGACAGCGGGGGTGAGGCGGGCGCGCGCGGGCGGGTCGGCTGGGGGGCCTGCCCCTGGCCCGGTGGGCATCCATTTTGGCGTCTTCGGCTGCGGCGCCCGCCCCTCCCCGCTTGACATCCGGGTAAAAGCGCACCATTTTCTACTCTCTTTAGTTTACTTTCCTAGGAGCTAAGATGTTGACATGGTTCCTGTTCAAAAGGTGCGTAGTCTGTAAGAGTTCTCACCCTTCTGCTCACCCCCTACAGCTACCCAGTTTTCTTCCCCAGAGGCAACGTGTGAACCAGATTCTTGGGTATCTTTACAGAAACTGTTTCAAAAAAATACTTCTTCACGTAAATTCCGCATAAACTTTTTTTAAAGACATGCCAGACCCGTTTATTTTCATGTTTTGGTTTAATTCCCTGCATGTTGACACCAGAAGATTCCCGTCAGTTGGAAGGCGCTTCTTGGTCTCGCTCAGGTGAAGTGGGTTGTTAACGCAGTTGATTTGAATGTTGGTGTAAGGTTAGGACACAGCGTAAAGATAAGACGCGTCACTTCTGATATAATGGGTATTGATAGCTTCAGCTGACACACCGTTTTGTTTAAAGAGGCATGCTTACCCGCCCCCCTTCCCTTTTCTTTCCTTTTGTGGCTATTCCATGTAACAGTTGGGAGTCTGAGGAGGTAAATCTGTTTTTTCTGTTCAGTGTGCTTAGTAGGAATTTTGTTTTTGGTAGAAGTGATGTTTCAGGTTCATTCATTCAGAAACGTGAGTGTCAGACACTTATCTTGCTGGGTATAACAATAAGTAAAAGTCCCTGTGGTCATGGAGCTTAACATACTACTGGGCAGTGATAAGTGCTACAGAGGAAAATAAATCAGGGTAGGGGCTGGGGAGGAGGTTGTTTTCTACAGAGTGATAAAAGAAGGCCACTACATAAGCTGATAATTTGAGTGGAGATCAAAGGAGATGAAAGAGCATGTTAGGTATACTGAAGAAGTATTCCAGGCAAAGGGAATATTAAGTGCAGAGGCCCTGAGGTGGGAATATGGCTGGTATTTTCTTGGAGCAACAGAGACTATGTCTGGAATGGAGTAAGCTAAAGGGATAATTCTAGGAGCAAGGACAGGACCATGAGTATAGGTGACGTAGATTAGGTTCATGTTTTGATGATGATATTTAAATGTAAAAGTTAAAATCCTAAAGTGACTAAGAGAAAAATATGGATGAGTATACTTTTTACTTACTTTTTCAGTTCATTTGCAGTTTATTGATCTTTTTTATTGACATAAAATTGACGTGCAATATTCTACCAGTTTCACATGTACAGCATAGTCAACACTTATATGTACTATGAACTGATCACCATAGTAAGTCTAGTTACCATCTGTTACTATACAAAGTTTATACAATATTGAATTTATTCCCAGTGCTGTACTTTGCATCCTCTGACTTACATTATAACCAGAAGTTTGTACATCTTGGTCCCTTTCACTCATTTTGCCCCACCCCTGCTTCCACTCTGGCAAGCACCACTCTGTTCTGAGTCTGGGTTTTTTTGACTTTGTTTTTTAAATTCCAGTTATAAATGAAATCATATGGTGTTTGTCTTTCTCTGTCTTATTTCACTTAATACAATGTGGGTTCATCCATGTTGTTGCACGTGGCAAAATTTTTACAGTTGAGTAGTATTGCATTGTATCTCTTTTTTAACCATTCATAATCAATGGACACTTAGGTTACTTCCATACCTTGGCTGTTGTGAAATAATGCTGCAGTAAACATAGGGGTGATATATTGTGTTCTTTGCTTTCAGTAAATATCTGGAAGTGTAGCTACTGGATCATAGGTAATTTTATATATTTTTAATTTTTTGAGGACCCTCCAAACTGTTTTCCAAAGTGGTTGCACCAATTTACATCCTTACCAACAAAGCATGAGGATTCTCTTTTCTCCACATCCTCTCACACACTTATTTCTTGTCTTTTTGAGAATAGCTGTTCTGACAAGTGTGATGTGATACCTCATTGTGGTTTTTGATTTGCATTTCGCTAATGATTAGTGATGTGGAACATCTTTTCATGTGCCTGTTGGCTCTCTGTGTGTCTTTGGAAAAATGTCTCTTCAGGTCCTCTGTTCATTTTTTAATTAGATTGTTTGCTTTTTGTTACTGAATTGTATGAGTTCTTTATGTATGCTGGATATTGACCTCTTGCTGGATATAATTTGCAAATATTGTCTCCCATTCTGTAAGTTGCCTTGAATATACTTTTTAATATTGGCATGGTGATAGTTCTGAAACCAAGAACACTAAGGAAAAGTTTTATGTATTTGATTACTAAAAATTAAAAACCTCTCATAAGAAAGTCACAGGACAAATTGAAATATAGTCCCAATACGTTGGAATAAAGTTAGTTCCCTTAATGTCCAAAGAGCCTGAAGAAGTTAGTAAAAGAAAAAGTAGTGGGAAAATGAGCAAATGAAATGGAACAAGAAGTTTCCATAAAGGGAAATAAATAAATGCCAATAGACAAATGCAGAATATTGTGATTAAATAAAAGTAAATTAAACCTTAATCAGAGGACCAATATAGGCCATGCCTGGACTTCTGATCCATGGAAACTGAAATAACAAATGTGTGTGCTGGTGTTTTTTAGAAAGGAAAGTTAGAGCAAGGAAATATATTTCATCTGTCATATTGGCAGAAATTAATAAAATGACTAACATCCAGAGTTAGGTATATGAAAACAAGTATACTGCATTATTAATAGAAGGAAATTGGAACAGTGCCCTCTTTGGAGGGCTTTTTGACAGCAGCTAATAGCATTTAAAATTCCTGTTCCCTCAAACATGGTAATATTGCTTTTAGGAATTTATCCTACAGATAAGAGTAAAGAAGAGTACACAGTGAAAAGTGAGTCTCCTTGATAGATGCCCCTTCCCTCACTTCCTCTCCCAGAGGCAACCACTATATCGTCCCTTGTCTGTGTCCTGTTTGCTCATAGTAACACTAGCACATTAAATATCAGTTTGTTCTGCACGTTTTTTTTAAACTTACTGAAGTTTTTGAGTGTCTGTGCTTTCCTTTTCACTGTGTTTTATTGTGTGATTAATCATAGTTTGCTTACTTTTTATTACAGAAAATTTTTAACACTTAGAAAAATAGAGCAGTATAACGAACTATACTGCATGTGCCCATCACCCACCTTCACCTGATAATAGTTCATGGCCAGTGTTTTCATCTGAACCTTTCCTCCCAACTTCTGGGATTATTTTGAAGCAAATGCCAGGCATCGTACCATTTTATCTATTTTAGCGTGTATTTCTAAAAGAGAACTTTTCAAAAAATTACTATTTTTAAAGTTTATATAATTGGCTTAATTTTGTGTATGGTATGTGTGTCTTTTAAATTTAAATTTTTACTGTGATAAAATACGTAAAATTTACTATTTTACGTGTTTTTAAGTGATCACTTAGATGGCATTAAGTACATTCACACTGTCATGGCAACCATCACCACCATCCAGCTCCAGAGCTTTTTTGTCTTCCAAAACTGAAACTCTGCACCCAATAAAGACTAACTCCCCATTCCTCTGGCCTCTGACAACCACTAATCTACTCTCTATGAATTGATGTCTGTAGGTACCTCATATGAGTGAAATCATACAATATTTGTCTTTTTGTGACTGGCCTATCTCATTTAGCTTAATGTCTTCAAGGTTCATACATGTTGTAGCATGTATATGAGAATTTCACTCCTTTTTAAGGCTGGATAATATTTCAGGGTATGGACACGCCACATTTTATTTATCCAGTCATTCATCAGTGGACTCTTAGGTTTCCATATCTTGGATGTGAGTGATGCTGCTATGAATATGGATGTACTAATATCTGTTTGAGACCCTGCTTTCATTTCTTTTGAGTACATTCTCAGAAATGGAATTGCTGTGTCATATGGTAATTTTATGTTTAAGATTTTGAGAAA